GCTGAGCGGGGTGGGTGGGGTGGGGGTTGCACCCAGAGCCTTCCTCCAAGTAGGACAGGTGAGAGACGCCCACTTCCTCAACGTGGGCCTGCTGCAGCACAGGAAGAACCCCCTTCTTTTCTTCCCTTTCTTCCCTGCACCTGCAGGCAGGCACGACAGTCACCCACCTCACAGCGTTCGATCCAGCCGGCACAGGACGAGAGGTGTGGCAGGACCTCCTGGCAGATGGGAGACTGGCATCCCCTCCAGGTGAGCTTAGGACCAGAGGAGAGTTCTGCTCTAAAAGGCCACCGGAGATGGGGGGGGGCAAATCCTTTAACACTGTGGGGACCTCTGTCTTGCAGGGAAAAGCCCCCCTACAGCAAAGGGGCAGCTGTGTGCTGGCGCTGTCTGTGCCACCTGTACGGTGCCACCCCATGGGCATGGGACCCTGGAGTTCGGCCTGGCCTGGGATATGCCATGCATCCATTTTGGATCCAAAGAGAGGATGCACCACAGGTGGGTGCCTATGGGAACTCTTTGGGGTGGCGGGGGGGTGGCGGGAGTGGCAGTGGCTGACCCAAGGGGTGCTGCAGCTGGAAGTGAACCACAGCTTTCCTCTGTGCCCTTCTGGATGTGGCCCCATTGGCCCCATACCTCTGGACATCACAAACCATCCCCCTGCAGTCTGCACAGCTGGGAGGAAGCAGGGCCAGCCCAGAACCCTTGAGGGGTGTATGTCCGTGTGCGCGTGCAAGCACACAGGGGATACTCTGTGCTCCCGAGGTGCCACAAGGACAAGTGAGGGTTGGTTGGCTTCCAGGCCAGCCAGAACACTTCAGCTAGAAGCCGCGGCCACCTGCTTGAACTTGAGGCCAGGGCAGCGCCCCGTGACTGGGTGGGTTTCCCGGCTGGGCATTTTGCACAATCGACTGGCCTCCCTCACTGAGCCGCAGAGGGGCCCAGGCAAAAGTGTGTGGCTTCCTACGTTCTTCTGACTGTTTCCCGCTCCTCCCCACAACCCCTTTGGTCTGGAGAAATCTGCGAAGGAGGGAAGCGCGGCCGCTCGGAGGTGGAGGAGGAGGAGGCCTGCGGGAGGGAGACCTCTGTCCGGAGTCAAGGGTGTGCTGGAAGGAAGGATAAGAATCTGTCCCGGGAGGCCATTTGAGGCTTGTGACTCGTTGTTCTTTCTGGATGGAAGACGCCCCATGTCTCTGACCAGGACCTGTGGCCCACCAGTTCCTTGCCAGGCCCTTATTTGGCTTTGCCAGTTGTGCGCGCTGAACATCTGCCCATTTCCTCAGGAGGCTTAGCCTGGAGGGAGGGGACAAACTGGTGCTGCTGGGTTTCATTCTGGGCCTCATGGCATCTAGCTGTGGGGCAGGGGATCTGGGCCCGGCGTCCTTCCGAGGCAGTGGTTAGACTGTAGCCCTGCTGCCAAGACTCTGCTCACGACCCAGGCTGAGTCCAAGGTGACCAGGTGGGCTCAAGGTTCACTCAGGTGGGACCTCCACTCAGAAAGTGGTTCCTTTCTTTCCTGTCCGTGGCCTTTGCTCCTCGTTCAGTGGTTCCTTTTTTTCCCGCCGGGCTTTTTGTGGAGGAGGCTGGCAAAGCCAAGGGGTGTCTTACCCCCCCCCACACACACACACACACCTGTGGCACTTGGGGCATTTGCTGAGGACACTGTCCCTCTGAGGGAGTCTGTCCGGGTGGTGGAGGAAGCAGAGTTTGTTGCACAGAGCTCGCCCCCACGCCCTGCCTGCCCAGCACCACCAAAGCTAAGAACCAGGAGGTCTCGGGGGGGGGGCATTTGCCCTTGCCCGCTACCTCCTCCGCTGGCTCTTCCGACCTGCGCCGGACCACGTCTGCTGTGGCCCAACCTGCTTGTCTCCTTTTGGTCTGCCTGCAGGCGGTACACGCGCTTCTTTGGCCGGGAGGGAGACGCCTGCCCCGCCCTCTCTCACTACGCACTGACGCACTACAAGGAGTGGGAGGAGAGGATTGAGGCCTGGCAGCAGCCCATCCTGAGCGACAGGTAAGGGACCCCTGGGCCAGCTTGAGACGGAGGTCCTCAGAAGTGGAGGGCTGGCCTCTCGCTTGAGGTTTTCCATCTCTCCTGAGAGAAACCCGGAGCGCCAGCTCACCATCCCGGTGTGTTATCGCCCTTCAGGCGCTCCTGGTCGTGCTCCTGCCTGAGCACAGGCTCTTCCTGGACTCCTCAGAGTAAGAGGCCAGCCTGCCCAGTGAGCTGGCCAAAAGCACTAAGCGGTGGGCATTTCTCCAGGCCTGCCCAGCCGGGCACAGCTGCCCACCCAAGGAAATGGGAGCCAAACTCTGGCTGAGCTTCTGAGTTGGCAAACTTGGGGTGGGGTGGGGTGGGGCCACTCTTCCACTCAGAGTGGGCATCAAGGCAAGGAGGGTCTGTCCACAGTGGGCCTGCTTGTTGGCTCAGCCACCTTCACAGGGTTGGGCCAAGATCCAAGGCACGCGCGCCTCCACCCTGCATCACTTGTCTTGGGAGAATGCAAGGCCCGGGGCAAGGGTGGGTGGGAGGAACGGGACAGGACTGGCATCTTGTGAGTAAGGAAGGGCTTGTCTTTCCTGCCACCCCCCTCCCTCCTCCCCCCCCCAGAGAGCTGCCCCCTTGGTACAAGTCGGCCCTCTTCAACGAGCTGTATTTCGTGGCAGACGGAGGGACCGTTTGGGTGGAGCTGCTGCCTGAGGACGTGGCCTCTCTGGGCCTCCCGGAAGGGGAGCTCTCCCAGCTGCTGCCAGTCCTGCAGGAGTATGGGAGGTTTGCCTACCTGGAAGGTACGCGCAGGGCGGGGCCGAGGAAGCCTGGGGGGGCAGGAGCAAGACCCACCCGGCCGGCTGACCGTTCCCCTGGTTCTTTCTTCCTTCCCCTCCACCGCCAGGTCAGGAGTATCGCATGTACAACACCTACGACGTCCACTTCTACGCCTCCTTCGCTCTCGCCATGTTGTGGCCCAAGCTGGAGCTCAGCCTGCAGTACGACATGGGTGGGTGAGCGGCCAGACACACACACACACACACCCTCCCCATCCTGCCTGCTGCCAGAAGCTGCAACCCACAAGCCCTCCCTTCCCCCCCACCCCACCCCTCCCAGTCCCCTCTGGCGCTTTCCTTGGGATCCCACGGTCTCCTCCTCCGTCAGCAGCAGGAGCGGCTGTTTGGGCCGTTTTCATCCTTTGGCCGCTGTCGTGCGTCGCCTTCCGGTTCACAAGCCAAGCTCATAGGAGCGGCCTTCCTCCCACATTCACTCATATCGTCATCACCCCTCTCCCCCCCCGTGCGCGGCGGCGGCAGTGGCAGCGGCGACGGCGGCCCCCAGGGCAGGGGGTGCCCCTCCTGGCTTGCCTGGGCTGCCCCTTGGGCAGGGCTCTGAGTGGCTCCCCTTGCCCTCCCCCTCTTCTAGCCGCTGCGGTGCTGAGCGAAGACACCCACCCTCGGCTGTACCTGATGAGCGGGCAGACAGCACCCGTGAAGCTCCGGAACGTGGTTCCCCACGACATCGGGGATCCGGGTAAGTAAGGGGCCCTCGGCCTGAGCTGGTCCTGCTGACCAGCCGGCGATTCCGCTCCCTCCCGTACACCTCCCTGGTCCAGCATCTCTCGGCCCAGGCGCTGGCCGGATGGTGCTTTGGGCTCACCTCCGAGGAGTTCATGGGAGAAACTGAAGCAACACTGCCCCTCATGCAAGATTCCCCCCTCCACACACCGTCACCCCTAAGGAAGGAGTCCACCCCCTTCCTTCCCAGTTGCTCCTTGTAAAACTATGGAAGGGGGGGCCACCTGCCAGGTTGTCCCTACAACTCGGTGTCTGGCCTTGTGCTCCAGTGCTGTGCATGGGCCGGATCGTCCCCCTCCCACAGAACCACTCCCCTCTAGATTGTTCCTGCCAGCCAGGCTTCCACAGCCTCCCCCCCAATATGCTCGGGGCTGCACTTGCATCACCCCCGACCCCCTTGGCCATGTTGATGCAGGCTGTCTTCCAGGGGCCCTGGAGGGCTGCGTGGTGTCCGGGGCAGGGGGGGGCATTGGGGTGTAACCCCTGTCCTTCCTTGTGTGGCCGACTTGGGAGGTCCATGGCTGGAGGTCCCGGCTGTTCCACCTCCCCCCCCCCGTGGATTTGCACTGCACAGGGACCCCGTGGGACTGCCGGGGGGGGACTGGGGTGGGGGAGTCCCTCACAGGATGGGTCGGCGGGGGCCGGTGTCCCCTGACTAGGGCTCCTTCCGTTCCTCTGCCCCATCCAGATGATGAGCCCTGGAAGCGGGTCAACGCCTACCTGATCCACGACACGGCCACCTGGAAGGACCTCAACGTGAAGTTTGTGCTGCAGGTGTATCGTGACTTCTACCTCACGGAGGACTCTGCCTACCTGCGGGACATGTGGCCTGTCTGCTTGGTATAGCTTCAGGTTGGGGGGCTGTGGAGGTGGCCGGCCCCAAA